TCGGGGTTAGGGACTGACACAAGATAGAATGTACTGGGGGTAGGGACAGACACAAGATAGAATGTATTCGGAGGTAGGGACAGACACAAGATAGAATGTATTCGGAGGTAGGGACAGACACAAGACAGAATGTACTCGGAGGTAGGGACAGACACAAGATAGAATGTACTCGGGGGTAGGGACAGGCACAAGACAGGATGTACTCGGGTTAGGGACAGACACAAGATAGTACTAACTGGGGCTAGGGACAGACACAAGACAGAATGTACTCGTGGTTAGGGACAGACACAATATAGAATGTACTCGTGGATAGGGACAGACACAAGACAGAATGTATGGGGGGGTAGGGACAGACACAAGACAGAATGTACTTTGGGGTAGGGACAGACACGAGATAGAATGTACTCGGGGGTAGGGACAGGCACAAGAAAGGATGTACTGGGGTTAGGGACAGACACAAGATAGAATGTACTCGACGGTAGGAACAGGCACAATACAGAATACACACGGGGGTAGGGACAGGCACAAGATTTAATTTACTCGGGGGTAGAGACAGGCACAAGGTAGAATGTACTGGGGTTAGGAACAGACACAAGATAGAATGTACTCGACGGTAGGTACAGGCACAATATAGAATATATTCGGGGGTAGGGACAGACACAAGATAGAATGTTCTCGGGGGTAGGGACAGACACAAGATAGAATGTACTCGGGGGTAGGGACAGACACAAGATAGAATGTTCACGGGGGAAGGGACAGGCACAAGATAGAAGATACTCGGGGGTAGGGACAGACACAAGATAGAATATACTCGGAGGTAGGGACAGACACAAGATAGAATGTTATGCGGGTAGGGACAGACACAAGATAGAATGTTATGGGGAAAGGGACAGACACAGGATAGAATGTACTCGGAGGTAGGGACAGACACAAGATAGAATGCTTAGGGGGTAGGGACAGGCACAAGATAGAATGTACTCGGAGGTAGGGACAGACACAAGATAGAATGTTATGGGGGTAGGGACAGGCACAAGGACGAGTATCATTATTTTTTAGTTTGCTCCGGGTATAACAAGCTACGCATGGATCACTTACCACAAACATTTTATGAATATCCGACCATAATAAAATTTAATATCATTATGTCTACAACTGATTGTAAATTAATTGAACGTCTAGCTATCTATATCTATCAAGCGATGTCACTTCGTAGTTCATTATTGTCACAACAATAACAGCTGTGTACATCACGTCCATTGTAATACAAATGTAACTATGGGCCAATGGCCTACACTTACGAAATAAACCGAATTGAATTGACGGGCACAAGATAGAATGTACTCGGAGGTAGGGACAGGCACAAGACAGAATGTACTGGGGGTAGGGACAGGCACAAGACAGAATGTACTCGGAGGTAGGGACAGATACAAAATAGAATGTACTCGGGGTAGGGACAGACACAAGATAGAATGTACTGGGGGTAGGGACAGACACAAGATAGAATGTACTCCGAGGTAGGGAAAGACACAAGATAGAATGTACTCGGGGTAGGGACAGACACAAGATAGAATGTACTGGGGGTAGGGACAGACACAAGATAGAATGTACTCCGAGGTAGGGAAAGACACAAGATAGAATGTACTCGGAGATAGGGACAGACACAAGATAGAATGTACTCGGAGGTAGGGACAGACACAAGATAGAATGTACTCGGGGGTAGCAACAAACACAAGATAGAATGTACTCGGGGGTAGCAACAGACACAAGATAGAATGTACTCGGAGGTAGCAACAGACACAAGATAGAATGTACTCGGGGGTAGCAACAGACACAAAGTAGAATGTACTCGGGGGTAGCAACAGACACAAGATAGAATGTACTCGGAGGTAGGGAAAGACACAAGATAGAATGTACTGGGGGTAGAGACAGACACAAGAAAGAATGTACTCGGAGGTAGGGAAAGACACAGGATAGAATGTACTCGGGGGTAGGGACAGACACAAGATAGAATGTATTCGGGGTAGAGACAGACACAAGAAAGAATGTACTCGGAGGTAGGGACAGACACAAGATAGAATGTACTCGGGGTAGGGACAGACACAAGATAGAATGTACTCGGGGGTAGGGACAGACACAAGATAGAATGTACTCGGGGTAGGAACAGGCACAAGATAGAATGTACTCAGGGTAGGGACAGACACAAGATAGAATGTACTCGGAGGTAGTGACAGACACAAGAAAGAATGTACTCGGAGGTAGGGACAGATACAAAATAGAATGTACTCGGGGTAGGGACAGACACAAGATAGAATGTACTCCGAGGTAGGGAAAGACACAAGATAGAATGTACTCGGGGAAGGGACAGACACAAGATAGAATGTACTGGGGGTAGGGACAGACACAAGATAGAATGTACTCGGGGGTAGGGAAAGACACAAGATAGAATTTACTCGGAGGTAGGGACAGACACAAGATAGAATGTACTCGGGGGTAGGGAAAGACACAAGATAGAATGTACTCGGGGGTAGGGAAAGACACAAGATAGAATGTACTCGGAGGTAGGGACAGACACAAGATAGAATGTACTGGAGGTAGGGAAAGACAACAAAATAAAATATACTCGGGGGTAGGGACAGACACAAGATAGAATGTACTCGGAGGTAGGGACAGACACAAGATAGAATGTACTGGGGGTAGGGAAAGACAACAAGATAGAATGTACTCGGGGGTAGGGAAAGACACAAGATAGAATGTACTCGGAGGTAGGGACAGACACAAGATAGAATGTACTGGAGGTAGGGAAAGACAACAAGATAAAATGTACTCGGGGGTAGGGACAGACACAAGATAGAATGTACTGGAGGTAGGGAAAGACAACAAGATAAAATGTACTCGGGGGTAGAGACAGACACAAGATAGAATGTACTCGGGGGTAGGGACAGACACAAGATAGAATGTACTCGGAGGTAGGGAAAGACACAAGATAGAATGTACTCGGAGGTAGGGACACATACAAGATAGAATGTACTCGGGGGTAGGGACAGGCACAAGATAGAATGTACTCGGGGAAGGGACAGACACAAGATAAAATGTACTCGGGGGTAGGGACAGACACAAGATAGAATGTACTCGGAGGTAGGGAAAGACACAAGATAGAATGTACTCGGAGGTAGGGACAGACACAAGATAGAATATACTCGGGGTAGGGACAGACACAAGATAGAATGTACTCGGGGGTAGGGACAGACACAAGATAGAATGTACTCGGGGGTAGCAACAGACACAAGATAGAATGTACTGGAGGTAGGGAAAGACAACAAGATAAAATGTACTCGGGGGTAGGGACAGACACAAGATAGAATGTACTGGAGGTAGGGAAAGACAACAAGATAAAATGTACTCGGGGGTAGGGACAGACACAAGATAGAATGTACTCGGGGGTAGGGACAGACACAAGATAGAATGTACTCGGAGGTAGTGACAGACACAAGATAGAATGTACTCGGGGGTAGGGAAAGACACAAGATAGAATGTACTCGGAGGTAGGGAAAGACACAAGATAGAATGTACTCGGGGGTAGCAACAGACACAAGATAGAATGTACTCGGGGGTAGGGACAGACACAGGATAGAATGTACTCGGAGGTAGGGAAAGACACAAGATAAAATGTACTCGGGGGTAGGGACAGACACAAGATAGAATGTACTCGGGGGTAGGGAAAGACACAAGATAGAATGTACTCGGGGGTAGGGAAAGACACAAGATAGAATGTACTCGGGGGTAGCAACAGACACAAGATAGAATGTACTCGGAGGTAGGGACAGACACAGGATAGAATGTACTCGGAGGTAGGGAAAGACACAAGATAAAATGTACTCGGGGTAGGGAAAGACACAAGATAGAATGTACTCGGAGGTAGGGACAGACACAAGATAGAATGTACTCGGGGTAGGGACAGGCACAAGATAGAATGTACTCGGGGGTAGGGAAAGACACAAGATAGAATGTACTCGGGGGTAGCAACAGACACAAGATAGAATGTACTCGGAGGTAAGGACAGACACAAGATAACATGTACTCGGGGGTAGGGACAGACACAAGATAGAATGTACTCGGAGGTAGGGACAGACACAAAATAGATTTTATTCGGAGGTAGTGACAGGCACAAGATAGAATGTACTCAGAGGTAGGGAAAGACACAAGATAGAATGTACTCGGGGGTAGGTACAGACACAAGATAGAATGTACTCGGAGGTAGGGACAGACACAAAATAGATTTTATTCGGAGGTAGGGAAAGACACAAGATAGAATGTACTCGGAGGTAGGGAAAGACACAAGATAGAATGTACTCGGGGGTAGGTACAGACACAAGATAGAATGTACTCGGGGGTAGAGACAGGCACAAAATAGAATGTACTCGGAGGTAGGTACAGACTCAAGTTAGAATGTACTCGGGGTAGGGACAGGCACAAGATAGAATGTACTCGGGGTAGGGACAGACACAAGATAGAATGTACTCGGGGTAGGGACAGGCACAAAATAGAATGTACTCGGGGGTAGGGACAGACACAAGATAGAATGTACTCGGGGGTAGGGACTGGCACAAGATAGAATGTACTTGCTTAGCACCGGTTATTAGCGACAACAATTAAATATCTGGTTTCTATTGGCATGATTATAAATACAAAACTAAGCACTGAGCAGAGAACAGTCAGAAATGACAACACTGGCAATGGAAATGTTTTCACTCACTTATATGTCCAATGTGTTTGCTTCAAATCATCAAGAATCTGTAACAAATAATAAACAAAACCAATGTATATTTTTTTAACTTAGCTCTTGGGTATACTTTACTGTCTAAAAGATAGATTGGTTTTCAATTGAGGATTTGTTGATTTTATGTATCATTATATTTCAGCATCGTAAACGGGTGAGCTAACAGAAATGACAAATAAGGGGAAGTAACTCTATTTTGTGATCTACCAAGGGACACAACTCCAGTCTTCGTGATTCAGTCACGTGATATCAAGATGGCGTCTGAACCACCCCCATTTGACGAGGAAACAGATCAGAAGGACGAAGATGATCTATTTTCTGACGCCAAGGAGGTAATAATTATATGCATCTGTTCATCATCTTAATCTGCACTTGAACTGATTAACGTATGAATGTGTGTTTCACCGTAAGTAAGCTGAAAGACTATTAGATTATCGGCAGCCGGCTTGACTCATTCCTTGGTGATTATTCATAAACAGTTCAGCTCCAATAAGCAGAAAGGCATCACGTTGTACGTACACACACGTACGTTATGACAATGGTAGCAGGTGCTCTAACGGCTCTAGATGGTAATATCGGCAGGGCGAGTTTACTTTTCCAAGCGATTGTGTTTGCTGTTTAAAGTTGGTAGTACCACCAATACACAGGGGGCGTGTCTTGTCCCCGATCAAAGCCCCTGTGTTGAGTGGATGTCCCCCCGCTGTGCCAACTGTTTCTATAGTCGGTCTTGAAACAACAAGTGCATTAGGCTGTAGTCCTTTTCTAAGTAAGAGTAAGATGTAAGCGGTTTTTTGGCAGGCATATATTTATGTACAATATATACATATAGGAGTATAAAGCTTTTTTACTGGCTTTTATTTCATATATATTAACATATGATCCACAATACACAATCCATTTTATCATTTACAATATATACATTTTACAATTTTCAACCACATGGACAAAATACTTTCACAAGCCAGTTAGATAAGAAGCTGCATTAGCATACTTATAAGTTCCATTTTGCAGGTGTTTCATTTGTGTCTTTAGTCTCAACAAACAACCAACCAACCATTCATTGCAACACCCTGGGATCATGAAGTGGTGCATCTTCCAGGGCACGTACCCACACATCTTCCAGGTGGTGTTCTGGAATTAGTGGCAGGGCTGCTGCTCTTCTGACTAGTTCCTTGATCTCAGGAACGTTTGAGAATTCTGTCTGCAAACTACACTTCTGTGCATAATGTCAAACACACAGATCAAAGTCAAAGAAGCAACCTTTTAATTGACAGTTAGGAAACACAGTTCTTACAGCAGTCTGGGCACCATCTTCAAAGTCTGTAAATACAGCTCTTGGCACTTGTTCAACATTGGTCAAAAGTGATGTTTTGTCTTCAGCACATCTAGAAAAATCTACATAAGTTTTCATTTTATGCAGCATCTCCAGCATGTCCAGTAAACTCGTACATCTTTTCTCATCCTAAGTCTTAACTTATAACCTTCGTAAACCAAGTTTTCACTGCCTTGAGAACTGAGTGTATACTGAACATTGACTTGAATGTTTGCCATGGTTGAATATGGATGCTTGACACAGTTGGGCCCTTAAAAGTATGCAGAATTGGAAATTGAATGATGTTCACCATTGTTCTTTGACCAATTTTACATTATTGATTGCCACTCACCAGTCATTAGAAATTGCTGAGTATTTAGTCATATGCATTCCTTCTCTGATGCTGGTAAATGATGACTTTCGCTCACCAATCAAAAAATCTTCAATTTAAGCCTTACAAGAAAGTTGGCATGTGAACAGTCCAAATGAGATACAGACTACCGAGATACAGACTACCGAGTATCGCTAATCCTCATACTGTTGTCCGCCTGACTGACCTGTTGTCTGTAAGAAAGTTGGCCATTTTGGGGTGAACGAATGATTGATAGCTCTGTTTAAAACGACGCATCAAGGTATATTTGGACATGCAGTTTTTTCCTTTGCCTCTTCACTGGACCTGTCATCAGTGAAATACAAGTTAATATTTTTAGGGCATTATTAACATGAATTTGGGAACTTTAATTTCAAATTTGTATTTTTTACTGACATTTGCTGCAAACTTGGTTGATTTACTAAAAAATCTGTTTAGTTCTTCAACACTTTAGTTTTCTGTTTTCACCTCTTTTTAATCTTCATGTTTTGGGCCATTGTTGATACTTTTATGTAGGATGTGAAAGGTAGTAGGGCAGAGACAAAGTCCATCATGTTTCCCTCATCATTCTGGTGTCATGTTGTTGTATTCTTTGAGGTCAGGAGTCCTTCTTTCATAGACCACAGGGCTTCGGATTGCCACTTTGTGTGAGTCGTTGACTCCAAGAAAAAAGAAATGACTCTCTTTCCAAACAGCATTTGTCAGAAAATTCCTAGAATGAACCCTGCATATTATTTTGTAATGGAGCTTGTGGCAGATGCATATTTACTTCAGTTATAATCCTGGGTGGGACTCGGACAAAGATGACATGATGTCTGTAACACTTGGAAATATTTCTTTGTTTCAGCAAAAGTCTGAGCCATCACCTAGTGAAGAGCCAGCAAGTTTGCCCATCAATGATGAGGATGCTGGAATTAAAGAAAAAGAGGAGGAGGACTTGTTTGCTGGTTAGTTTCAGGTTCCAGAAATAAGAAAATACTACCAGAAACTGTTTACTTCCAGTCAGCTCAGTGATTAAGTAGGGTATGGCATGTAGTTGCTTTATTTGTATCTCCAAACAAGTTCTTGTGATTATTAACAAAGTTGTTTCCAATGAGTAACAAACTGGTGATCATGGTGGACAGTATGTAGAATTATTACTAAGTATGTCTTATCAGGGTTTTAAATTGGTTCATTGTTGTGCAGCATGTCCTGAAAATTTTGGTCAAACTGGGTGATAATATAGAAGAATCTCCTATCAAAAGTTTATAAAAATAAAATCATTGAAATCTCCTTATGCCATTTGTCTCTAGCAAGTCGACTGCTTGTGATTGAAGGGTCTAAGCTCCAGCCTATGTCTAGACGTTGTAGTTAGTGATGTGATTGACTGACTGACTGTCTCTGTGTAATAAGATCTAGTGCCATCACATGAGAGCTACCCAGGCATCAAAATTGGGCTTGCTGACAAAAAAATGGTTCTTGAATGATTTGAATTCAGCTTGCTGGGACTGTCAAGATGCAAGATGATCAAGCCGGGGTTCCAGAAGTCTGAAAACTACACTTTGCCATGAACTGCAAAATATTTTCTTTTTCATGACTGACATGTTTCTGTGAATACCAAATTCTGAATAAGATGTACAGTACCTTGAAACATGTGATGCCCCAAGTCTGCAGTATTGCTTCTTTTGCTTAGTTTAAGACGGATCCTGGATTATCATTTTAGGATCAGACATTTAATTATATTGTCAGGGTACGTTTACAGCTGGTTATCATTGAGGACAGTTGGTCAGGGTGCATGTGCCCCCATTCATTTCATGTTTACTTGCTACTACATGACCTACTCTCCACTCCAGCATTGCCCAATGATGCTTATTCCATTCATTCCCTTCACTTCAATCAATTTAATGAATATTTATTTTAAAAGCTAGTCAGAAAGCAATTGGTAGTTATTATTTCTTTAAGTAAACAGGCAAGCTTGTACACTCAGTACTGCATGTGTTGTTGTGTAGGAGGTGGAGATGAGGTGAAGCTGGATGACTCAGACAATGAGGAGGAGGAAGTCCCCCCTGTAGCAGCTGCCGTGCCAGAGAAGGAAGCAGCTGAACCCGTTGTCGGTGCCGTCAGCCCCAAACCTGAACCAACCCCTCAGATCAGTGTTTCCCAGTCCTCTACAGCATCGTCAAAATTGTCAGGGACGACAAAGAGCTCTCGAGATGAGGTACAGAACCAAGTCATTCCTCCTGCTTGCTTCATACAGTCTTGATAACACCTACTGGTAGATGGAACTTGTTATCAGTGTCCACAAGTAGACAGGGTCCTGCGGTTAGTTTTGGAAATCTAAAACTTGGACTGTTTAAACTAGGGCAATGACAAGGCACGTAATTACTTTCATAAGGAAGAGAATTCATGGATGTCAACTTCTTTATTGTGAGGAACACATTTAATTCCTTTCATGCTTAATTGTGAACAGTGATAAGGATGCTGCATCATTCATAGATCATAATATGAGGGAGGACAGCTTCCTTCTTCCCAAGGCAAGGGAGTTAACTGACTGTAAAAGTCGTAGTTCCACCAGTGTCTGTTACGAGTTATGTCCCTTCTTTATTCCTCCTATTGACCAATCAGATTCCACCTCTCATGTCACATGCAGTTGCTTCAAACAAAACATTTCCACATAAATAATCCACAAAATCTATCCCTTTCACGGGGAGGGGCAGAAGGGTGGCCTAGTTGTGGTTAAAGATCTCGCTCGTCGCACTGAATCCCCGGGTTCAATTCCCCACATGGGTACAATGAGTGAAGCCCCTTTCTGGTGTCCCCTGCCGTGATATTGCTGGAATACTGGTGAAAGCAGCGTAAAATCCAACTCCCTCACTCACAAAGAGGTGGTACCTTGCATGTATATATTGAAAAATTAAGTACAGATCTCGATCTGAATCACTCACACTGGTGGAACCCACCACCAGCAGTGGGATTCAAGCAATAAGTGTGAGTCAGGATATGTATTTATTAGAGTAAAAATATCATTTAAACTTGTCCTGAATCGTATGTTAGAGCACCCACCCAGCCATCCCCTCTTCCCCTGTGTTTTGACCGTTAGGAAAGGGAAATAAGAAGTGACGAGTCTCCTGGTTTGGTCATGTTGGTTGTGGTGTGCTTGCACGGCTCAAATGTGCATTCGGGTGAGTGTTTTTTCTGTTCTCTGGGATCACAGTTCAGGAAGTTTCCACTACCTTTTGGAAATGAGATTAGATAAGCAATAAGTACGAGTCACGATCAGTATAAATGATCATTTGATGCTGGTTGAATGATTTGCGGATGTTATAGTCTTGTATTGATGTGAGAATTTGTTAATTTTGACACGATTGATGCCCACAGGTGGATGTTGATGATGAGGATGAAGGCACCATAGAGATTCGGGTGATGGAGCCACAGAAGATGGGTGATGGCATCGGCGCATACATGGTGTACCGAGTTGTAACTAAAGTAGGTCCTTCACCTGAACCCTTCAGCTCACACTCCGGTGCAGTGCTGACTTATGCATGACACCGCTGCCACAGGCTAATTTGCATATCACGTTACCGGATTTTTCTCTTGTTTGTTAACAAATGCGCTTTTTCAGAAATCAAAATAGAACGGACTAATGCAAGTATTTGGCACTTTACATTTTTTTTCATAATTATATAAATATGCTACTACAACTGCTTTTTCATGATTTAGGATATTTTCTCAATGAAACTTACCGATAACCCTTCCATGACATATGTTCTATCAAGATATGTAGACTTGTCAAAAATGAAGCAGATGAAAAACATATGCAATAACTTGAATGGACTGTGTAAGATGTGACGAATCATCACATGGCACTGCCCTGTGGCAGAGGTACTACGCATGGCACTCTGGATAGGAGAGTGCCTTCAGCTTCAGGTCTGTTGCCTAGAGCAGCAGGGATTTATCTAGGATTCAAACTAAGTGGTGTTGTCACCATATTGGGCAAAATTGGGATACCTACTTTCCTAAATTCAGATGTATGTTAACATGAATGCAGAGGACATACTTCAAAAGTACCGGGTAACATATCATTTTTAATTTCAACTAGTCAGTAATCCACTATCGTGTCTCTAGATTGCCTGGTACGCTGTCCCTGTCTGGTGAAGACAGGCAGATGTCCTGCTGTTTGATGTCAGGCGACACACGCTTACTTTTTATGCAGTTGTGAGGGCGGGTGCTACCGGTAGAGCAGAACATGCTTACCCTTTTCACAAACATCTGGTGTCATCACTGAATTTCAATGATGCATTCATATTATTTTCACTACTATTTTACGCCCAGTGGAGTCTGTTTCAGATGGTCAAGATGTTTTAGATTTACAAAACATGACACAGTTACAATCATCTGGAATTTTTATGACACTAGAAGCATGATTTTTCCATCAATTGTTTTCAAATCTGATGTAGACTATCCATGTCAATATGACCAAAACCGTTTTTAAGCGCTGTTACCTGAGGCAACAACCACCTTTCACTGTTTCAGACCAGCATTCCAGCATTCCGCAATCCAGAGTTGAGTGTTTTGCGGAGGTTCAGTGACTTCCTGGGTCTACATGCCAGGCTCCAGGAGAAAAATGTCAAGATGGGAATCATTGTCCCCCCAGCACCAGAGAAAAGCGTCGTTGGTATGAACTGGGATTTGTCTCTAGCTCTGGGAAAAGGAAATTGGGAGTTATTTAATATGGTTACACAGGTAGAAATATACAGAATCATTCACAGAACGGACATGTTTACAGTGGGTGTCAAAGCCATTTGGATTAGTTTTCATGGCAACGACTTTGACTTGGACTGAAAATGGTGGTAGTGCTCCTTTCCAGAGCAGATTTTGAAAAACATACAATATTTCTTCACCTAACTTGGTGCATAGCTAGGTCTACTGGTAAACTGTTGCTTTTTGATACTTATTTTTTGAGTATCCATTGGCACGACAGTGACTTTGACTGAAAATGGCAGTAGTGCTCGTTTCTGGAGCAGATCTTGAAAACCATACAATACTTCTTCCCTTGTACACAAGCAGACATGACATATTGCTGGGATACATGAGTAGTGCATGCTTGTTTTGTGTAGTGAAACACATGGATGGATTCACTGTTATGTTTTCTGCTGCAATAGATTAGGTGGTATATGTAGAATTCTACTGTTACATTATCCATCAACTTGGTGTTTTCCTTAAATCTGTGCTCAGGTTAACAGTGTGTCAGTTAACCTGGTGTTGTTGCAGGTATGACGAAGATCAAGATGTCCAAGGAAGAGTCGGGTTCTTCTGACTTTGTGGAGAGGAGACGAGCAGCACTTGAAAGGTATACATTATCTGTAGTGTGGTGGGGGACAACGGTACACATCATCTGACAACTTACACAGGTCTGACCGCCTCTGTAGTGTGGAGGGGGACAACGGTACACGTCATCTGACAACTTACACAAATCCGGCCGCCTCTGTAGTGTGGATGGGGACAACGGTATACGTCAACTGACAACTTACACAGATCTGACTACCTCTGTAGTGTGGTGGGGGACAACGGTATACGTCAACTGACAACTTACACAGATCTGACCGCCTCTGTAGTGTGGTCAGTCTGTTCTTGTGAGGAGTCAGTCTGTTATCGTGAGGAGTCAGTCTGTGTTATCGTGAGGAGTCAGTCTGTTATTGTGAAGAGTCAGTTTGTTATTATGAGGAGTCAGTCTGTTATTGTGAGGAGTCAGTCTGTGTTTTTGTGAGGAGTCAGTCTGTTATTGTGAGGAGTCAGACTGTGTTATTGTGAGGAGTCAGTCTGTGTTATAGTGAGGAGTCAGTCTGTTATTGTGAGGAGTCAGTCAGTGTTAATGTGAGGAGTCAGTCTGTTATTGTGAGGAGTCAGTCTGTGTTATAGTGAGGAGTCAGTCTGTGTTATCATGAGGAGTCAGTCTGTGTTATCGTGAGGAGTCAGTCTGTTATTGTGAGGAGTCAGTCTGTTATTGTGAGGAGTCAGTCTGTTATTGTGAGGAGTCAGTCTGTGTTATAGTGAGGAGTCAGTCTGTGTTATAGTGAGGAGTCAGTCTGTGTTATCATGAGGGGTCAGTCTGTTATTGTAAGGGGTCAGTCTGTGTTATCGTGAGGAGTCAGTCTGTTATTGTGAGGAGTCAGTCTGTGTTATAGTGAGGAGTCAGTCTGTGTTATCGTGAGGAGTCAGTCTGTTATTGTAAGGGGTCAGTCTGTTATTGTGAGGAGTCAGTCTGTTATAGTGAGGAGTCAGTCTGTTATTGTGAGGAGTCAGTCAGTGTTATTGTGAGGAGTCAGTCTGTTATTGTGAGGAGTCAGTCTGTGTTATAGTGAGGAGTCAGTCTGTGTTATCGTGAGGAGTCAAGTCTGTGTTATCGTGAGGAGTCAGTCTGTTATTGTGAGGAGTCAGTCTGTTATTGTGAGGAGTCAGTCTGTGTTATAGTGAGGAGTCAGTCTGTGTTATAGTGAGGAGTCAGTCTGTGTTATCATGAGGAGTCAGTCTGTTATTGTAAGGGGTCAGTCTGTGTTATCGTGAGGAGTCAGTCTGTTATTGTGAGGAGTCAGTCTGTGTTATTGTGAGGAGTCAGTCTGTTATTGTGAGGAGTCAGTCTGTGTTATTGTGAGGAGTCAGTCTGTTATTGTGAGGAGTCAGTCTGTTATTGTGAGGAGTCAGTCTGTGTTATAGTGAGGAGTCAGTCTGTGTTATCGTGAGGAGTCAGTCTGTTATTGTAAGGGGTCAGTCTGTTATTGTGAGGAGTCAGTCTGTTATTGTGAGGAGTCAGTCTGTTATTGTGAGGAGTCAGTCTGTTATTGTGAGGAGTCAGTCTGTTATAGTGAGGAGTCAGTCTGTGTTATAGTGAGGAGTCAGTCTGTGTTATCATGAGGAGTCAGTCTGTTATTGTAAGGGGTCAGTCTGTGTTATCGTGAGGAGTCAGTCTGTTATTGTGAGGAGTCAGTCTGTGTTATTGTGAGGAGTCAGTCTGTTATTGTGAGGAGTCAGTCTGTGTTATTGTGAGGAGTCAGTCTGTTATTGTGAGGAGTCAGTCTGTTATTGTGAGGAGTCAGTCTGTGTTATAGTGAGGAGTCAGTCTGTGTTATCATGAGGGGTCAGTCTGTTATTGTAAGGGGTCAGTCTGTGTTATCGTGAGGAGTCAGTCTGTTATTGTGAGGAGTCAGTCTGTGTTATAGTGAGGAGTCAGTCTGTGTTATCGTGAGGAGTCAGTCTGTTATTGTAAGGGGTCAGTCTGTTATTGTGAGGAGTCAGTCTGTTATAGTGAGGAGTCAGTCTGTTATTGTGAGGAGTCAGTCAGTGTTATTGTGAGGAGTCAGTCTGTTATTGTGAGGAGTCAGTCTGTGTTATAGTGAGGAGTCAGTCTGTGTTATCGTGAGGAGTCAGTCTGTGTTATCTTGAGGAGTCAGTCTGTTATTGTGAGGAGTCAGTCTGTTATTGTGAGGAGTCAGTCTGTGTTATAGTGACGAGTCAGTCTGTGTTATAGTGAGGAGTCAGTCTGTGTTATCATGAGGAGTCAGTCTGTTATTGTAAGGGGTCAGTCTGTGTTATCGTGAGGAGTCAGTCTGTTATTGTGAGGAGTCAGTCTGTGTTATTGTGAGGAGTCAGTCTGTTATTGTGAGGAGTCAGTCTGTTATTGTGAGGAGTCAGTCTGTTATTGTGAGGAGTCAGTCTGTGTTATAGTGAGGAGTCAGTCTGTGTTATCGTGAGGAGTCAGTCTGTTATTGTAAGGAGTCAGTCTGTTATTGTGAGGAGTCAGTCTGTTATTGTGAGGAGTCAGTCTGTGTTATTGTGAGGAGTCAGTCTGTTATTGTGAGGAGTCAGTCTGTGTTATAGTGAGGAGTCAGTCTGTTATTGTGAGGAGTCAGTCTGTGTTATTGTGAGGAGTCAGTCTGTTATTGTGAGGAGTCAGTCTGTGTTGTTGTGAGGAGTCAAGTTGTGTTATAGTAAGGAGTCAGTGTTATAGTGAGGAGTTAGTCTGTGTTATTTAAGGAGTCACTCTGTTATTGTGAGGAGTCAGTCTGTTATTGTGAGGAGTCAGTCTGTGTTATTGTGAGGAGTCAGTCTGTGTTATCGTGAGGAGTCAGTCTGTTATTGTAAGGAGTCAGTCTGTTATTGTGAGGAGTCAGTCTGTTATTGTGAGGAGTCAGTCTGTGTTATTGTGAGGAGTCAAGTTGTGTTATAGTGAGGAGTCAGTCAGTGTTATAGTGAGGAGTCAGTCTGTTATTGTGAGGAGTCAGTCTGTGTTATCATGAGGAGTCAGTCTGTTATTGTAAGGGGTCAGTCTGTGTTATCGTGAGGAGTCAGTCTGTTATTGTGAGGAGTCAGTCTGTGTTATAGTGAGGAGTCAGTCTGTGTTATCGTGAGGAGTCAGTCTGTTATTGTAAGGGGTCAGTCTGTTATTGTGAGGAGTCAGTCTGTTATTGTGAGGAGTCAGTCTGTTATTGTGAGGAGTCAGTCTGTGTTATTGTGAGGAGTCAGTCTGTGTTATAGTGAGGAGTCAGTCTGTGTTATAGTGAGGAGTCAGTCTGTGTTATCATGAGGAGTCAGTCTGTTATTGTAAGGGGTCAGTCTGTGTTATCGTGAGGAGTCAGTCTGTTATTGTGAGGAGTCAGTCTGTGTTATAGTGAGGAGTCAGTCTGTGTTATCGTGAGGAGTCAGTCTGTTATTGTAAGGGGTCAGTCTGTTATTGTGAGGAGTCAGTCTGTTATAGTGAGGAGTCAGTCTGTTATTGTGAGGAGTCAGTCAGTGTTATTGTGAGGAGTCAGTCTGTTATTGTGAGGAGTCAGTCTGTGTTATAGTGAGGAGTCAGTCTGTGTTATCGTGAGGAGTCAGTCTGTGTTACCGTGAGGAGTCAGTCTGTTATTGTGAGGAGTCAGTCTGTTATTGTGAGGAGTCAGTCTGTGTTATAGTGAGGAGTCAGTCTGTGTTATAGTGAGGAGTCAGTCTGTGTTATCATGAGGAGTCAGTCTGTTATTGTAAGGGGTCAGTCTGTGTTATCGTGAGGAGTCAGTCTGTTATTGTGAGGAGTCAGCCTGTTATTGTGAGGAGTCAGTCTGTTATTGTGAGGAGTCAGTCTGTGTTATAGTGAGGAGTCAGTCTGTGTTATCGTGAGGAGTCAGTCTGTTATTGTAAGGGGTCAGTCTGTTATTGTGAGGAGTCAGTCTGTTATTGTGAGGAGTCAGTCTGTTATTGTGAGGAGTCAGTCTGTGTTATTGTGAGGAGTCAGTCTGTTATTGTGAGGAGTCAGTCTGTGTTATAGTTAGGAGTCAGTCTGTTATTGTGAGGAGTCAGTCTGTTATTGTGAGGAGTCAGTCTGTTATTGTGAGGAGTCAGTCTGTGTTATTGTGAGGAGTCAAGTTGTGTTATAGTAAGGAGTCAGTGTTATAGTGAGGAGTTAGTCTGCATTATTTAAGGAGTCAGTCTGTTATTGTGAGGAGTCAGTCTGTGTTATTGTGAGGAGTCAAGTTGTGTTATAGTAAGGAGTCAGTCAGTGTTTTAGTGAGGAGTTAGTCTGCATTATTTAAGGAGTCAGTCTGTTATTGTGAGGAGTCAGTCTGTTATTGTGAGGAGTCAGTCTGTGTTATTGTGAGGAGTCAAGTTGTGTTATAGTGAGGAGTCAGTCAGTGTTATAGTGAGGAGTTAGTCTGTGTTATTTAAGGAGTCAGTCTGTAATTGTGAGGAGTCAGTCTGTGTTATCGTGAGGAGTCAGTCTGTGTTATAGTGAGGAGTCAGTCTGTTATTGTGAGAAGTCAGTCTGTGTTCTTGTGAGGAGTCAGTCTGTGTAATAGTGAGGAGTCAGTCTGTTATACTGAGAGGCGATGCAGTAAGGACATTGTACTAAACAAGTCTGTTGTCACGTTAATGGAACATGTTGTCTTTATGTAGTCCCACTGTAATGCTCCGGGCAGTGGGATTACGACAAAGGACAGGCACTATTCCCCACATGGGTACAATGTGTAAACTGATTTGTGTGTCCCCTTCCATGATATTCGTGGAGTATTTGCTGAATATGGTGTAAAACTCAACTCACTCACTGACCTAATGAGTCTATTGCAGGTACTTGAATCGCACAGCTCAGCACCCAGTTCTGAGGAGTGACCCTGACCTCCAGGACTTCCTGGAACGGGACGGGGAGCTGCCAAAGTCGACCAGCACCTCGGCTCTCAGCGGTGCCGGGGTCATGCGGCTCTTCCACAAGATGGGGGATGCTGTTGAGAAAATTACTTTCAAGATGGATGAAACTGATGAGGTATGTCTTCTTTTCATGAATTGAGATGACTTAAAAATGCCAAGTTATTAGTTACTAAGGAGGTTGCAGAGGTGCAGGGTTAGCTGTGTGATGTCACTGATGTGAGATAACTGTCAGCGTGACGGGACTGAAGGTTTCACACACACCCAGTCACATGAGGCAATGTTGCAGCTCTAGGGAGATGAATGCTTTTGTTCAGATCTTTGGATATATCTCACAGAATATCCTAATTATGTGATCAACAAGGAAAACGTGTAGAAGTAAAGAAGCCTGAACGTTACCCTGACTATGGATGAGACAGTATCTTCCTTCTTTCTTAGCAATCTGCACCCAACATCAGTTTTCAGATATATTTCATGTTTTTTATTTTCACGTTTTATTCTTAGCAGATATTTTGATGAAGATTTGTTAATCATGTTAATGAAATAATTAATTAATACAAGCCTACATCACATGGATTTTCTAGACACTTTAAATGTTTTTTTAGCTAACATAGTTATTGTTAGTACATGATAATTGTTATTCTCTGATCTTATTACATGATTAACTCATGGTTTTAAATATAGAACAATGTCTTGTTATGAATACACCATTTGTACAATGAGTCTTGTATTGATGTCTGTTACCTGAGGATTCAGTTCAGAACTGTTTATCGATTGTCTGCACTATGTACATGCAGTATGATGGTAAGAGGGTAGCTAATGCTGTGTGTTTTCCCAGTCAATAGGCCTTTATCTGCATACTTATTTTTGCTCAATCGTCCCTCGCTCCCCATCGTGTGGCGGCCAGTGGAGCTACCAGATGGAGGTAATGTCAGTGTCTGTCTGCACCCCCCACCTGTTGTGTCCGCCTTACAGCTGCAACAACACACAACCACAGTTTGTGTAGTGTCCATCTCAAACAGCTGCAACAACACAACACCAATCTGTGTAGTGTCCATCTGACACAGCAGAAACAACACAACAACAATCCATGTAGTGTCCATCTGACACAACTGCAACAACACAAGAACTATCTGTGTAGTGTCCTTCTCACACACCTGCAACAACACAACAACTATCTGTGTAGTGTCCATCTCACACAGCAGAAACAACACAACTATCTGTGTAGTGTCCATCTCACACAGCTGAAACAATACAACTATCTGTGTAGGGTCCATCTCACACAGCTGCAACAATACAACTATCTTTGTAGTGTCCATCTCACACAGCTGCAACAATACAACTATCTGTGTAGTGTCCATCTCACATACCTGCAACAACACAACAACTATCTGTGTAGTGTCCATCTTACACACCTGCAACAACACAACAACAATCCATGTAGTGTCCATCTGACACAACTGCAACAACACAACAACTATCTGTGTAGTGTCCATCTCACACAGCAGCAACAACACAACAACAATCCATGTAGTGTCCATCTGACACAACTGCAACAACACAACAACAATCTGTGTAGTGTCCATCTCACACAGCAGCAACAACACAACAACAATCCATGTAGTGTCCATCTGACACAACTGCAACAACACAACAACAATCTGTGTAGTGTCCATCTCACACAGCAGCAACAACACAACAACAATCCATGTAGTGTCCATCTGACACAACTGCAACAACTCAACAACAATCTGTGTAGTGTCCATCTCACACAGCAGCAACAACACAACAACAATCCATGTAGTGTCCATCTGACACAACTGCAACAACACAACAACTATCTGTGTAGTGTCCATCTCACACAGCAGCAACAACACAACAACAATCCACGTAGTGTCCATCTGACACAACTGCAACAACACAACAACAATCTGTGTAGTGTCCATCTCACACAGCAGCAACAACACAACAACCATCTGTGTAGTGTCCATCTCACACGGCAGCAACAACACAACAATCCATGTAGTGTCCATCTCACACACCTGCAACAACAGAACAACAATCCATGTAGTGTCCATCTCACACACCTGCAACAACACAACAACAATCCATGTAGTGTCCATCTCACATACCTGCAACATCACAACAACAATCCATATAGTGTCCATCTCACACACCTGCAACAACACAACAACAATCCATGTAGTGTCCATCTCACACACCTGCAACAACACAACAACAATCCATGTAGTGTCCATCTCACATACCTGCAACAACACAACAACAATCCATGTAGTGTCCATCTCACATACCTGCAACAACACAACAACAATCCATGTAGTGTCCATCTCACACACCTGCAACAACAGAACAACAATCCATGTAGTGTCCATCTCACATACCTGCAACAACACAACAACAATCCATGTAGTGTCCATCTGACACAACTGCAACAACACAACAACAATCTGTGTAGTGTCCATCTCACACACCTGCAACAACACAACAACAATCCATGTAGTGTCCATCTCACATACCTGCAACAACACAACAACCATCTGTGTAGTGTCCATCTCACACGGCAGCAACAACACAACAATCCATGTAGTGTCCATCTCACATACCTGCAACAACACAACAACAATCCATGTAGTGTCCATCTCACATACCTGCAACAACACAACAACAATCCATGTAGTGTCAATCTCACATACCTGCAACAACACAACAACAATCCATGTAGTGTCCATCTCACATACCTGCAACAACACAACAACAATCCATGTAGTGTCCATCTCACACACCTGCAACAACACAACAAAAACCTGTCTAGTGTCCATCTCACACAGCTGTAACAACACAACAACAATCTGTGTAGTGTCCATCTGACACAACTGCAACAACACAACAACTATCTGTGTAGTGTCCTTCTCACGCAGCAGCAACAACACAACAACAATCCATGTAGTGTCCATCTCGCACAGCAGCAACAACACAACAATCCATGTAGTGTCCATCTGACACAACTGCAGCAACAAAACAACAATTTGTGTAGTGTCCATCTGACACAACTGCAACAACACAACAACAATCCATGTAGTGTCCATCTGACACACCTGCAACAACAGAACAACAATCCATGTAGTGTCTATCTCACACACCTGCAACAACACAACAAAAACCTGTCTAGTGTCCATCTCACACAGCTGTAACAACACAACAACAATCCATGTAGTGTCCATCTCACACAGCTGCAACAACACAACAACAATCTGTGTAGTGTCCATCTCACACAGCTGTAACAACACAACAACAATCCATGTAGTGTACATCTTACACAGCTGCAACAACACAACAACTATCTGTGTAGTGTACATCTTACACAGCTGCAACAACACAACAACAATCTGTGTAGTGTCCATCTCACACTGCTGTAACAACACAACAATCTATCTAGTGTACATCTTACACAGCTGCAACAACACAACAACAATCTGTGTAGTGTCCATCTCACACTGCTGTAACAACACAAGAACAATCTGTGTAGTGTCCATCTCCATTGACTTTCACATGCATCTCGGATCACAGCCACATTGTTGCAGCTGTTGTTTGTCTGTCTGTCCAAATGTCTGTCTGTCAATACAACTTTGTGTCTGAATTTGTGCATATTGGCAGCTTTCAAAACTGCTTGCCAAGACATCAAAGGTGACACCATTCCACTCAGATAGAAAACAAACCTATGATGAAAAAGTCAATAAATAATGATCTCTCAAATCCAGCTGGTCACACCAAGCTGGTCACACCAAGCTGGTCACACCAAGCTGGTCACAAAGCCTTTCTTGTGTAGCCTGTATGATGAATTTAGGGATATTTTGCTCTTTCTGCCAAAAAATGTTGTCACTTTCAACATTTTAAAAAGAGTGTTTGCCTCGAGTGTATTTATTTTTTATCACTTTGGACATCCTGCATGTTGTTTACTATGTTCTGATGCCTTTTTATTTGAAAACTGATGTTGGGTTAAGTTGTAGAACAGCATTTGTGTACCTCCCGGCTGTATGTATGCGTCTAACAGCCATCAGTAGATACTCATTACCAGTTTGTTTGAAGTAGTTATAACTCTTGTTAGAAATTAGACTGTATTATTTCTGGAGACCGGAATGAAGTTTACCATGCATACAGTACACAATTTCCTTAACAGCATGCCCTAATACAAACTTAACAGTGTAAACTGCACAGTAACTGTCCAGGAGGAGGGGAAGGGAGGGCTGTGCCTTGGAGAGGGAGGGGTTGTGTCCTGGAGGGTTTGGGGAGGGGAGGATGGTCCTAGAGGGTGGGTTGAGGAGTGTTGTACCCTAGAGGGTAGGGGGAGGGGTTTGTGTCCTGGAGCGTTTGGGGAGGAGTGTTGGTTCCTGGAGGGTGGGGGTAGGAGTGTTGGTTCCTGGAGGGTGGGGGTAGGAGTGTTGGTTCCTGGAGGGTTGGGGCTGAGAGTTGTACCCAGGAGGATTGGGGAGGATGAGTGCTGTTGGATGAATACAGTGAGTGAAGCCAATTTTTAAAAGTGCACAAAATCACTTACAAAGTCTGAGGCATATTGAATTCAGTAATTCTGTTTGTATGGAGATGCAAACAGTTGTTCATCTTTCTCTAGTGTTGTTTTTTCCATTGAACGAATATAGTTTGGAATCTGGACTGGAATGCACCTTAGTGGCATTGCAGGTCACATTCAATATTGGTAGCACCAGGCTCCACATGTGTTAGCAGCAGGCCATAAACACAATACTGCTTCTCATTACTCTGAAACCACATGTCTTGATGCTGCAGCAAGTGTATGCATGTTTCAGAAAAGGTACAGGAATTCCATCGACTAATGTTAGGTCCAACAGAAGGATGTGTCTTTAGAAATAACGGTTTTCATTTCTAGTTTTGTGATGCAAAATGCAGTGAATGTATATTGTCTGACACCGCCTTGTGCATGGTCCTGCATGTGGGTATCAGCCACATGCATTTCTTGTGCATGACAAAGATCAAAATGCATGCTAAAACATGAATCAAGTTTGTTCTTAATTCCACCTAATTTATTTCATCTCTTTTCATACAAGCTTGACCTCCTTTCTTTCTATATATCTGAGGATAAACCTTATGTTTTGAAATATTCCAGTAAACCAAAGGACAGTTTTCCATTCAATAGCTGAAAAAAGCTCCATCCTTCTTCTCCATACATGCATAGTTGAAGTATAGTAATGGTGCGTCAAGTGCATACATAGATGAAATATGTATAATCTTTGACCTCACTCTCATGCTGGGATGCTTTAGTAGACACACTATAGCAGACAAGTTTTGTTTTCAGTGGTTTGAGGAGAAACAGCAACAGATTGAGGCCTTGGACCAACAGCTCCGTAAACTCCACTCCAGTGTTGAGGCCCTCTCCATGCACAGGAAAGGTACACACAGTAACACATTCTGTCCATGCACAGGAAAGCTACACTATTACATTCTCTCCAAGCAAAGGGAAAGGTACACTGTTACACATTGTCTCAATACACAGGAAAGGTATACTGTTACACATTCTGTCAATATACAGGAAACATACACACTGTTACACATTCTGTCAATACACAGGAAACATACACACTGTTACACATTCTGTCATACACAGGAGAGGTACACTGTTACACGTTCTGTCAATACACAGGAAAGGTATACTGTTACACATTCTGTCAATACACAGGAAACATACACACTGTTACACGTTCTGTCAATACACAGGAAACATACACACTGTTACACATTCTGTCAATACACAGGAAACATACACACTGTTACACGTTCTGTCAATACACAGGAAACATACACACTGCTACACATTCTGCCAATACACAGGAAACATACACACTGTTACACATTCTGTCAATACATAGGAACGTACACACTGTTACACATTCTGTCAATACACAGGAAAGGTATACTGTTAGACGTTCTTTCAATACACAGGAAACATACACACTGTTACACATTCTGTCAATACACAGGAAAGGTATACTGTTACACGTTCTGTCAATACACAGGAAACATACACACTGTTACACATTCTGTCAATACACAGGAAAGGTATACTGTTACACATTCTGTCAATACACAGAAAAGGTATACTGTTACACATTCTGTCAATACACAGGAAACATACACACTGTTACATGTTCTGTCAATACACAGGAAAGGTATACTGTTACACATTCTGTCAATACACAGGAAACATACACACTGTTACATGTTCTGTCAATACACAGGAAAGGTATACTGTTACACGTTCTGTCAATACACAGGAAACACACACTGTTACACATTATGTCAATACACAGGAAAGGTATACTGTTACACATTCTGTCAATACACAGGAAACATACACACTGTTACACATTCTGTCAATACACAGGAAAGGTACACTGTTACATATTCTCTCAATACACAGGAAACATACACACTGTTACATGTTCTGTCAATACACAGGAAACATACACACTGTTACATGTTCTGTCAATACACAGGAAACATACACACTGTTACACATACAATAAAACTCAATAGGAAAGTAAAGTAACCTCACAATTCCTCCTTACTCATCTTCTCTTGCAGAGCTAAGCATGACAACGGCCGTGTTTGCCAAGAGTGCTGCCATGTTGGGGAGTGTGGAGGAACACACGGCTCTGTCACGGGCCTTGTCCCAGCTGGCCGAGACGGAGGAGAAGATCGAGCAGCTGCACAGAGAACAGGCAGAGCATGACTTCTTCACCATGGCTGAACTCATGAAGGACTACATCTCCCTCATAGGAGCAGTCAAGGTGAGGCTCCAGCAACATCTGTGGACTCTTTAAACCAAAGTAGGGAGCTGCAGCATGTTGTGTCAGGCAGAGCTGACGTAGGAAGCTACATCACTGTTGTGCCAGGCAGAACTGATGTAGGGAGCTGCAGCACTGTTGTGCCAGGCAGAGCTGACATGGGGTGCTGCAGCACTGTTGTGCCAGGCAGAGCTGACATAGAAAGCTACATCACTGTTGTGCCAGGCAGAACTGACGTAGGGAGCTGCAGCGTTGTTGTGCCAGGCAGAGCTGACGTAGGGAGCTGCAGCACTGTTGTGCCAGGCAGAACTGACGTAGGGAGCTGCAGCGTTGTTGTGCCAGGCAGAGCTGACGTAGGGAGCTGCAGCACTGTTGTGCCAGGCAGAGCTGACATGGGGTGCTGCAGCACTGTTGTGCCAGGCAGAGCTTAGGTAGGGAGCTGCAGCACTGTTGTGCCAGGCAGAAATGACATAGGGAGCTGCAGCACTGTTGTGCCAGGCAGAGCTTAGTAAGGGAGCTGCAGCACTGTTGTGCCAGGCAGAGCTTAGGTAGGCAGCTGCAGCACTGTTGTGCCAGGCAGAACTGACATAGGGAGCTGCAGCGTTGTTGTGCCAGGCAGAGCTTAGGTAGGGAGCTGCAGCACTGTTGTGCCAGGCAGAACTGACAAAGGGAGCTGCAGCACTGTTGTGCAAGGCAGAGCTTAGGTAGGGAGCTGCAGCACTGTTGTGCCAGGCAGAGCTTAGGTAGGGAGCTGCAGCACTGTTGTGCCAGGCAGAGCTTAGGTAGGGAGCTGCAGCACTGTTGTGCCAGGCAGAGCTTAGGTAGGGAGCTGCAGCACTGTTGTGCAAGGCAGAGCTTAGGTAGGGAGCTGCAGCACTGTTGTGCCAGGAAGAGCTTAGGTAGGGAGCTGCAGCACTGTTGTGCCAGGCAGAGCTGACACTGGGGAGACTCGGCCCCGACAGCCTGCACCTCAACTGTAGATACCTCTATTCCTACATGAAGCACACTTGCAATGAAAGCCAGGACAAACCTGGTGATGCAGGCACATGCTCCTGTGTGCAGCATCAGGGCTCGTGGAGAGTTGTCAGACGTTCAGCTTTCTAGCATCTTTGTTCGAAACATTCCTCTGTTCAGCCAGCAGTGAATGTGTGCATGGTAGGATGATATGGTAACATGAATGTTAACCGTCATTTTGTGACTCAGAGATTCATTATAATTGAGTCTGTGTCATGTTGTCAACAGTGTAACCCTACGTTTACATTTGGCATCAGCAAAGATTTACTGGTTTCACAATTGTTAAATTTTCCACGTTCCAGAAAATATTGATATCAAAACTGTACTGAAATGTACTGAAAGACAACTGTGATTGAGCATACTTTTTAGACACAGATATACATTCTGAAATATTTGGCTACAACACTGGAAACCAAATCCGTTCCTGCACCCCAGTAGGTAAGACGGACACCCAGCTTGTTTCCATGTTGTACTGACTGTGTTGCAGGAGGTGTTTCATGAGCGCTACAAGCTGTACAAGAACTGGAAGGATGCTGAGGTGGTCCTGGGGAAGAAACGCGAGAATAAGGCTAAACTGGAGGTGCAACACAAGACAGACAAGATCTCACAGGCACAGCAGGAGATCACAGAGGTCAGTTTGTGGTATCTAACTGTCACTGTGTCATGCTTGACATATTATGCAGAAAAGTCGGAACACTTCACTTAATTATTCTATATAGCAAGGGGCTGTCATGGGCTACACATATGGGGTGTCAAAGAATTCTAACACCTTACTATGTTTCATTGTACAGGTAGGTGATCTGTGCATGTCACACCTCTCCTGAATTCAGATATCTGTCGGTCCCTTTATCAGTTCCATTGTTCAGACACTTTACATGTCAACATGTGTCCGTCCCCTTATTCAGGCACTTTACATGTCAACATGTGTCCGTCCCCTTATTCAGACACTTTACATGTCAACATGTGTCGGTACCTTATTCAGACACTTTACATGTCAACATGTGTCCGTCCCCTTATTCAGGCACTTTACATGTCAACATGTGTCGGTACCTTATTCAGGCACTTTACATGTCAACATGTGTCCATCCCCTTATTGAGACACTTTACATGTCAACATGTGTCCGACACCTTTTTAAGACACTTCACATCTCAAAATGTGTCCATCCTTTTATCCAGACACTTTACATGTCAACATGTGTCCGTCCCCTTTTTCAGACACTTAACATGTCAACATGTGTCCATCCCCTTATCCAGACACTTTACATGTCAACCTGTGTCTGTCCCCTTATCCAGACACTTTACATGTCAACCTGTTTATAGTGCCTTCGTAATGTCACACATGTTTACAATGTCAGTAGTGATGGACTGTCATCATATGTCCTTGCCTGTGCTGTCCAGTGCAGCGTAGCAGTAGTACATGTGTACAGTGAACTGTATTTATCTCCTCTATATTATCATATAAAATATTTGTATATAATGAACTCTCTACAGTGAACAAACGTATATAGCTAACTGATATCTGATCCCCGACAAGCCCAGATACCACTGAAATCTCACTCAGTGTCAAGTGTCACTGATTATTGGCTATTCGCAATCAGCGGCGTATCAGCGTGATCAACGGTGATGATTCAACCTTGTTAAACTTGCTTATGTTAATCTTACCTATAATTGGACTAATATAATTTAAGGTTATTAAATTACTGTATGAAATGTTATTAATTGAATGCTATGAAGTGATCACTACAAATACAAGTCAATGCTGCAATTACGAGCATTGTGTTTTGTTTTAACTGAGATGGTGGACGTTTCTGAGTGAAAACGTATATAAAGAATGTGTATAACTGATTTCTCCGGTCCCTTGTAGTTTGTTATTTCCATGTTCTACTCTATTTTACTGGGTATATTGAATGCAACTAGTACCTTGTTAATATAATAGGAATGTTTGCTTGTTTGCAGTATGAACAAAAGGTAGAGAAAGGCCAAGAGGATTTTGAGAAGATCTCTGACACAATAAGGAAAGAGATTCGCCGCTTTGAAAAGTATCGGGTCATAGACTTCAAGAACAGTGTAGTGAAATACTTGGAAGCTCTGATGGAGAACCAACAGAAGGTAGGCTCATCACATCCTTGGTCTCACTTCACCACAGGTAGGCTAATCACATCCTTGGTCTCACTTAGCCACAGGTAGGCTCAACACATCCTTCGTCTCACTAAGCCACAGGTAGGCTCATAACACCCTACGTCTCACTTAGTCACAGGTAGGCTCATCACATCCTTGGTCTCACTAAGACACAGGTAGGCTCATCACATCCTTCGTCTCACTAAGCCACAGGTAGGCTCATAACATCCACATGCTTACCTTGCCACAGGTAGCCTCATCACACCCTTGGTCTCACTAAGCCACAGGTAGGCTCATCACATCCACCTGCTCACTTCACCACAGGTAGGCTCATCACATCCTTGATCTCACTTCACCACAGGTAACCTCATCACATCCTTGGTCTCACTAAGCCACAGGTAGGTTCATCACATCCACATGCTCACTTCACCACAGGTAGGCTCATCACATCCACATGCTTACCTTGCCATAGGTAGGCTCATCACATCCTTGGTCTCACTAAGCCACAGGTCGACTCGTCACATCCTTGGTCTCACTAAGCCACAGGTAGGCATCATCATATCCTTGGTCTCACTAAGCCACAGGTAGGCTCATCACATCCTTGGTCTCACTAAGACACAGGTAGGCTCATCACATCCACCTGCTAACTTCACCACAGGAAGGCTCATCACATCCTTGGTCTCACTAAGCCACAGGTAGGCATCATCACATCCTTGGTCTCACTAAGACACAGGTAGGCTCATCACATCCACCTGCTAACTTCACCACAGGTAGGCTCATCACATCCTTGGTCTCACTTCACCACAGGTAGGCTCATCGTATCCTTGGTCTCACTTAGCCACAGGTAGGCTCATCGTATCCTTGGCCTCACTAAGCCACAGGTAGGCTCATCACATCCACCTGCTCACTTCACCACAGGTAGGCTCATCACATCCTTGGTCTCACTAAGACACAGGTAGGCTCATCACATCCTTGGTCTCACTAAGACACAGGTAGGCTCATCACATCCACATGCTCACTTCACCACAGGTAGGCTCATCACATCCTTGATCTCACTTCACCACAGGTAACCTTATCACATCCTTGGTCTCACTAAGCCACAGGTAGGTTCATCACATCCACATGCTCACTTCACCACAGGTAGGCTCATCACATCCACATGCTTACCTTGCCATAGGTAGGCTCATCACATCCTTGGTCTCACTAAGCCACAGGTAGACTCGTCACATCCTTGGTCTCACTAAGCCACAGGTAGACTCGTCACATCCTTGGTCTCACTAAGCCACAGGTAGGCTCATCACATCCTTGGTCTCACTAAGCCACAGGTAGGCTCATCACATCCTTGGTCTCACTAAGCCACAGGTAGGCTCATCACATCCTTGGTCTCACTAAGCCACAGGTAGGCATCATCATACCCTTGGTCTCACTAAGCCACAGGTAGGCTCATCACATCCTTGGTCTCACTAAGACACAGGTAGGCTCATCACATCCACCTGCTAACTTCACCACAGGTAGGCTCATCACATCCTTGGTCTCACTTCACCACAGGTAGGCTCATCGTATCCTTGGTCTCACTTAGCCACAGGTAGACTCGTCACATCCTTGGTCTCACTAAGCGACAGGTAGACTCGTCACATCCTTGGTCTCACTAAGCCACAGGTAGGCTCATCACATCCTTGGTCTCACTAAGCCACAGGTAGACTCGTCACATCCTTGGTCTCACTAAGCGACAGGTAGACTCGTCACATCCTTGGTCTCACTAAGCCACAGGTAGGCTCATCACATCCTTGGTCTCACTAAGCCACAGGTAGGCTCATCACATCCTTGGTCTCACTTAGCCACAGGTAGGCTCATCACATCCTTGGTCTCACCAAGCCACAGGTAGGCTCATCACATCCACATGCTCTCTGCACCACAGGTAGGCTCATCACATCCTTGGTCTCACTAAGCCACAGGTAGGTTCATCACATCCACATGCTCACTTCACCACAGGTAGGCTCATCACATCCACATGCTTACCTTGCCATAGGTAGGCTCATCACATCCTTGGTCTCACTAAGCCACAGGTAGACTCGTCACATCCTTGGTCTCACTAAGCCACAGGTAGGCTCATCACATCCTTGGTCTCACTAAGCCACAGGTAGGCTCATCACATCCACATGCTCTCTTCACCACAGGTAGGCTCATCACATCCACATGCTCTCTTCACCACAGGTAGGCTCATCACATCCTTGGTCTCACTTAGCCACAGGTAGGCTCATCACATCCTTGGTCTCACTTAGCCACAGGTAGGCTCATCACATCCTTGGTCTCACTTAGCCACAGGTAGGCTCATCACATCCTTGGTCTCACCAAGCCACAGGTAGGCTCATCACATCCACATGCTCTCTTCACCACAGGTAGGCTCATCACATCCTTGGTCTCACTAAGACACAGGTAGGCTCATCACATCCACATGCTCTCTTCACCACAGGTAGGCTCATCACATCCTTGGTCTCACTTAGCCACAGGTAGGCTCATCACATCCTTGGTCTCAGTAAGCCACAGGTAGGCTCATCACATCCACATGCTTACTTTGGCACAGGTAGGCTCATCACATCCTTGGTCTCAGACACTACAGTTATACTATAACACGCAGACACTTCATTTATAATAGAACAAGCAGACGCTATACTTATACTAGAACACGTAGACACTATAGTTATACTACGACACTACGACACTCAGACACTATAGTTATACTAGGACACTCAGACTCTATAGTTTTCCTATCATAAAACATTGAGTGATTGTTTCTTCTTTCTGTGTATATGCGTATCCTTAACCACTGAGTGACTATTTCGTCTTATGACTTTAACTGACAAAACCCCAGCAGCTATTTCATAACGCACGAGAATACTTAAGAGAATGATTAATCGCTTACTGAATATGTTGCTGATATGGCTGTACTTCCTTTCAGATGATAAAGTTCTGGGAAACATTCCTGCCGGAGGCCAAAGCTATTGCATGATACCCCCGGTGTTCGGAGACTGTACAGTGGACATCTACTACAATAATCAATATTTAATTTACATTGTCCTTAAGTCATCAAGCTTGTTTTCAAGCTAGTCAGTGAGTCTGGTTTTGTACTGCATAACAACTTGATCCCAGGAGCTCTGCTGGAGTCCGTCACTGACCCTGGAGTGCTTGCTGGCAGTCTGTCTTACTGACTCAGTGTCCTCCACAATATATATTGTACCAGCGAAGAGGCCCCACAAATAGTACCATCAACTACAACATTGTCCCATGGTTGGGATTCCTGTTTCAAATCTGTTCACAGATTTGTTAAGATTTACAAGTTTTCTTTATGCTGTCCATTTCAAGGTGTAGATTGTCAACATTTGAACTGAAATCTTATGGACCTTTTGGATACAAGTTGCTGGACATACATTTGCCTTATTTAGTTCCTAGACTATGCCGAAGGTTTAATGATGCAGTCATTCTTCTGTCTGATCAATAAGTACAAATATGTGATATTTTATATTCTTCATAACATTCAGTTTATGTTTCTGATTGATAGTGAAATATTAAACAAGGTGAACACTCTTGAAATGAACCAACTTCTCACTGGTAGCAACAGGATTAGCTTTTCTCTGCGGGCAAATAATTCTACACCTGCTTCATTTAGTTTCACAGGAATGTAGCAACATGTGTGTTAATGTCATAATAGAGCACGGCAAGACCTGAATCCCTCCTTGCTTGTGTTGTCTCCCTGTCTCCATGATTAGCAGGGTCTTGTCAGATACAGTCTTACTTCTGGCGGCATTGTGTCGGACTATTCTACTGTTAATCCACATGATTGTATGTTATTGTAGACCTGCACTGGTAGCAGAAATGGCTTCATAATATACCATATATAAATGTCCTCACTAGTTCACAGGTTTGTATATACTGAATTCCACCATGCCCCATGGGTGGATGACTTCCAAATGTAGGGACAACATCCCACGGTGGTGACATGTATGCACTGGTGATGGTGGCCGTTGTGTGTACAGACTGTGAAGTATTGCCGATGTACACAGGAGACAGGAAGCTAGGCAGGCAGGCAGGAGGGTTCATGCTGCACCTTCTTTACATATCCCTGTAACAACACTGTTCATAGTCTCACTCCCATCTTCCCGAGGCAAGAGGGTTAACTGACTTTAAAAGTCCAGTTTCCACCCTTGCCGAACAAGGCTTAAATTCCTTGGCTTGATCTTAGTGCCACAAGTGGCTATTACGAGGTTATGTCCCTTCTATGCCTTTCCTATGGACCAATCAGATTCCATATACTCTCATATCATTTGCATCAGCTTCAAACAAAATGGCAGCCCCCAGCCAAGAGGATCTGATCGATACTCAAGATCTATTTTGTGATAAGACAGGTCTTACATCGCGAAGTGCCTCAAATCACGTGAGCACCTTGATTGAAAACATGAAAAGATTTGGAAAATATCTCTTGACAACGAATTGGCAGTGCACATGTTTTGCTAATCCTACAATTGACCAAAATCTGCATGACAGTTTACGAACTGGATTTTGATTTCAATGTGCGATTTTGATTGGACTATGCATAGACTTGTTAGTCCAGCCAAATTCTAACTCCATAATACCAGCCTTGTTTGACAAGGGTCGAAAATTGACTTTTATAGTCAGTTAACTCCCTTGCCTCGGGAAGATGTCTCACTCCTTGCACATCCACAACAACCAAACAATGATTGAGATGCCCAGTGTCCATGATGTGCACAGATTACTGTGGGATGTAGCTCTGCACGGGAGAGTCCAGGGAAGGCGGGCCTATCACAACTAACATGTAAACCATCATGAGGTTGTGTTCACGTCATGATATAGGTACTGTGACGTGTCAACCATCGTGGGTTTCACCGAAGTGGTAAACGTCTTAGACCTGCATCACTTCGGGCTTTCCTCCTACATTAAGCCGTGATATAACTGGAATAAAGTTAAAAGCGGAGTTAAAACCCAAGTCACTCACGTCATGATATAGGTACTGTGACGTGTCAACCATCATGAGGTTGTGTTCACGTCATGACATAGGTACTGTGACGTGTCAACCATCATGAGGTTGTGTTCACGTCATGACATAGGTACTGTGACGTGTCAACCATCATGAGGTTGTGTTCACGTCTTGACATAGGTACTGTGATGTGTCAACCATCATGCGGTTGTGTTCACGTCATGACATAGGTACTGTGACGTGTCAACCATCATGAGGTTGTGTTCACGTCTTGACATAGGTACTGTGATGTGTCAACCATCATGCGGTTATGTTTACGTCATGACATAGGTACTGTGACGTGTCAACCATCATGAGGTTGTGTTCACGTCTTGACATAGGTACTGTGACCTGTCAACCATCATGAGGTTGTGTTCACGTTATGACATAGGTACTGTGACGTGTCAACCATCATGAGGTTGTGTTCACGTCATGACATAGGTACTGTGACGTGTCAACCATCATGAGGTTGTGTTCACGTCATGACATAGGTACTGTGACGTGTCAACCATCATGAGGTTGTGTTCACGTCTTGACATAGGTACTGTGTGCAGCCACCTTTTCAAGACCCTGGAGTTGCCTCTGCTCTGATGATGATAAATTGGGAAGATGTTGCGTCTCATTCATTTCTCAGCAGTAGATTTATGATAGTCAATATACATTTTAGGAAAGGATTTTCTTTGTACAAATTGTATTTGAACCTGATTTTAGAATGATTTGTTGTAAATCTTTTATGATATGAATCAAGGACTTTTTTTATGAAATGAGCTAAGTCACGGTACTTCCACCAACTGTGCAATTGTTTGTGGACTGAAACATACTCTACAGTTACGGGGGTTTGATGTTAGTGTGTCAGGACTGCTCTCTAGACGGTGTAGACGTCACACATTTCACAGCACCTGTGTCTAGCATGTGTATTATTTAGCTGTGTGTGAGTCTGTGGCACTTCTGTGACTTGTACATTTCACGCCACCCTGTACATGTTACATGTGTACATCTCATGTTGAATGAACAATGTATTTGTTACAACATTTGGCCTTGAGTTTTCTTTTGCTGGAGAATCGGACTAAGTAACAAAGTGATAAAGTGTTATTATGAAATAAATACAGTGACCGCCTATAAGATGTGATGTATTTTGATGAATAACACTCAAGTACCCGAACTCAACCAGGCAATGGATTAAACAAGGGGCCGGTTGTGTCTTGTGGTGCATGGTAGGGGAGGGGAGGGGAGGGGAGGGGGCTGGTGAGATTGATGTCTCAGGACAAATTCTTTGAGAGGCATTTAGAAGTTGGAGTACTAAGTAAGGATAAGATATATGGATGAACAACTTCTTTATTACAATTAAGATCAACGTTTCGGTGTAGGTTCTAACACCGTTATCAAGCAAGTAATTTACAGAGCATGGTTGACAAGTATATATACAGGATAGGAGGCAGTGTTTATACAGTTGAGTAGGTTTAAGATGCAGTTACACTGGATGTTTTACCCTTCTGTGTACATAACAGGCTTCTGCAGAGTAACTGCATCTTAAACCTACTCAACTGTATAAGTGAGTCTTAACTACTATGTACTTGGAATGAAAGCCTGATAAAGCACAAAGAGCGAAGTTGGATTTAAGTTTATTTAACAACAAAAAACCTAAAAACAACAGGGGCAAAATCCTTCTCCACTTAACTATAACCTACGTAATTTTCCCCCTTCCCTGCCGACGTAATACTTAAAGTTGTTCTTTTTACCACCCCGCTTTCTTAACTCCCGAAAATAAAACGTCTATAAAACAAACCTATTCAACCGCTACTCTATATTTCCCCCACCCATACCTCCTAATCTAATATCCCATCGAAAGCCCTATAATGAATAATAAATGGTCCTGATTCAGGGTGCGGGTGCCGACTGTATCTTACCAGATACTGGTGAGCGACGACTGACGATTCCCTTACTTACTTAAATTAGGAATTTAACGTGCGCTTTCCGACATATTCTGTTTTTGTTTTTTATGGCCTGGAACCCACTTAAGAAGTCTGAAAGGATTATGGTTTTTTGGTGTCTATTTATTTGATTGCTGAGCAGGGCTGTTACTAGCCCCATTAATTCGGCTGTGAAAATTGATTGATTATTTGGGAGCCTGTATGATTGTGTTTCTTTTGGGGGTTTGTTGATATGGATGCCGAATCCTGTGCGTTTTAAGCCCGGGTCAAAGGGCCCGTGTGTGTAAATGTGACACCAATTGGGCCATTTTTCGTGAATGTATGCTAGTGTGATGGATTTAGCGGTTTTTGGATCAGTTTCTTTATTTAGTCTGGTGGAGAGAGATATGTTATTTTGGGGGGTTTGGAGTTTGGGTGTGAAGGTGTTATTTGGGGCTGTGTTTAACTGTAAATTATTTAGGTTGTCTGTATTTAGGTAAAGACGATTCTCACTTACTTACTTACTTACTTTGGAGATTTAAAGTGCGCTTTCCGACTGATGCGTATTTCGCACACGGGACGATTCTCTTACTTACTTACTTACTTACTTTGGAGATTTAACGTGCGCTTTCCGACTGATGCGTATTTCGCACACGGGCCCGGCCAGGCCATTTAATGTGTTTCCGAAAGGGGCGAAAGTGGTGTGTGCAACCCAAGAGGGGGCTTTAGGGGCTGCTTATATAGAATTTGGGAATTTTGAGATTTGGAATAGATGCCGATGGGGTAGGGGAGGAGAACTAAGGGAGCTGGGTATGGTGGATGTTTGTGTGTTTATGTAATTTTGATTTGGTGGATTATAGTGTTTTTAGATGCGTTTTATTAGTTCCGTTTTGATTAAGAATACGCCTAAGGCCTTGAAGTTTTCTAGTTTATTTTGTGGGTTTAGTATTGCTTCTAGAGTGAGAGCCTTGTTTAGATTGAGGGTGGTTTGTAATGCGGTTCGATGTGTTAGGTAGTGTGTGCAGTAGATGAGTGCGTGTTCTGGGGTTTCTAGTTGTTTGCAGTGTGGGCAGTTACCTGTAGTATGTTTTTTTATTTTTTTTAGGTGGTTATTTAGGTTGGTGTGTCCTGTTTGGAGTTTAGTGATTACTCTGTCGATTTTTTTTGATGGATGGTGAATTTTTGGTTTGGTTAGTGGTTTGCTGAGTACTTTTTTGATTTGGCTATTTGAGTTTAGATATAGGTTATGCCATTTTTTGGTGATTTTTTGCTTATTTACACTTTTAATTTCTGATTTTGAGATGGGTAAGTTTAAGCTTATTTCTGGGATTTTGAGGGATATTTTAGCTGCCTTATCGGCGTTTTCATTACCGTATATTCCTACGTGGGCGGGTATCCACAAGAAGGTTATTTGTTTGCCTGCGTTAGTTAGGTCGTTGGAGCTTTTAAGTATTAGATTTATTAATTGAGGTCGGTTTTTGGTATTTTTGTTTTGGAGGGCTTGCAGTCCACTTAGGGAGTCGGTAAGTATTAGGATTTTATTGTGGTTCTTGGATTCTTGACTATGGAGGGCTGAGGCCATGCCCATTAGTTCTGCCGTGACGATTCTCTACCCAGGGTAGGCTTATAAAGCCAACACGTGGACCATGTGACCAGGAAAACGGACACAACCAATGAACACGCTCCTTTCATCTCGGTCCTCCCAGCAGCATCCCAGCCACTACGCCCGCCTGGGCAAAAGCTGCTACGAAAAGGATTACAAAGACTCCCCTTAAACTAACCCACCTACTACAGTATGTTCCTAAATACAACAATTAACCAACAATAATCCCCAGTCGACCACAACTGTGACAGAGTTTGATGATGTAATACAACAAAGAAAAGACACAGCACCTGGTCTTGACACAACCAGATACGAGATATTGAAACGCCTACCTGATCAAACAAAGAGCTTCCTCCCTGAGTTGTACCACACGGTGTGGTCCAAAGGAGAAGTCCCAAAGCTTAGTTATGCTTCTAAAGCAGGGGAAAGACAAAGCCCTACCGAACTCTTATCCACCGATCTCACTCACCTTAAACGTGCAAAAACATTACAAAATGGCACATGCATCACCTTGAAACTGGCAACCTCACACCTGATCAAAGCGGCTTCTGGAAGGGACACTCCTGTTTAACATCATGATCAATGATCTTTTTGAACATATCAGTTGCATGTCAGTAAATAACTCTTTACAGTACCTAACACCCTTATTTTCAGTCTCTGGGAATCTCTCACTAGATCTACCCCTTCAACCTTGTGTATATCTTAAGACATTTTTTCACACCTGTAGGGCCTCCCTCAGTCTATTTATATCTTGCATTTAGCACTTCCTATGATGTTTAATGCAATCTATCCTCTAACTGACCACCCTGGTCCTCTACAGGTAGCTTCCTTCCATACCTGACTTCCTCCTCACTTCATGTGCTGCTGTTGAGGAGGAAGGAGGTGTGGTGTGGTGTGGAATGGCCACTTTTCAATCTGTTTTTATCTGCCTCTAACAGAAATTAATGTTTATATTAAGATGCCGAATTAAATTGAATAATTTATATAAGATATTTAAAGTAATACTAGATTAGTAAATGAAATATTAATTATATAAAACTAATTTGTAAAATAATAAACCACATGGTCCATTTTGGCCCATGTGCTTTTTCAAGTATTGTATAACTTTAATGTTAAATTACTACTAGTTTTATTACGGTTTCAAAATACCTTTGTACTATCATGTTAATATAAATACCTGTAACTCTGCAAAACATAAATACCAGACTTCATGTGCTGCTGTTGAGGAGGAAGGATGTGTATTTTCTTCAGGTTATTTCCTCAACAGCAGCCACCCCCATCATTTAATAAAAGCATCATCATCATCTGCCTGTGTCTGTATTCTCCAAAGGCCGGAGCCGGTGTCACGAAATATATTCGCCCCCAGAATAAAATCTCTCCCCCCCCCGGCGAATTTATACCGGTACAGTTCCGCCCCTCTCGAAATAAACTCTCCCCCACCCTACGAAATAAAATCTCCCCCCAGAATATTTCCTCCCCCGGTCGTTTTATAAATACTTGCCATGCAGTTGCCAATAGTTTTAATGTTAATTTGTTTATGTGTTTTTTTATTCATTTTTTTTTTATCTCCTTTATTTTTTCTGAATTATACATTTAGTTACTTGTGTGGGGTGGGGGGTGGGGGGTGTCACACCTTTCCTTTCGTTTTTCATAATATTATATTTTTAAGTTGTATATAACGTATGAATCCCTTCTCAGATTACTTTATCTCAGTTCTATATGACGTACTATTTTACTTTTCTGTGTCGTTCTTGTTTTCTCTTCAGTGTGAGGTTAAACTGTATCATTTTTACTATTTTGATATTTTGCAATATGTTGTGGACATCAGTTATGCAAATCAGTTTCCGTGTGTCTTTTTAACAAGATGTTCTACATTAATATTCACCGCCAGCCCCATTGTAACAATTACATGTACACTTTGCTTTGACGATGCCGGTTGATGTTGTTCAATACAGGTGTTTTTGAATCTATTCTACATGCTAATCATTTCGGGAAGATGATACACATTATCTATATTTTGGGTTACTTTGCTTATAAAGATTATACATGTAAACGTACGCAGTCTTAGTAGATTTTAAAGTAGATTTAATCAGTGCTGAATTAGATAGTTATGATGTTGTATGTTTAACAGAAACCTGGTTGCACCATGATATTCTAGCCCCTGGTATTACACTGATACCATTTTCAAATGGTAGCCTGTATTAAGGAATATATTTTAGATCTTTAATCAGAGTATAACGGCGTGGGTATGTTGACAGTTTTTACGTAGTTAGTGTTAAAACCGAATGTTTGCGAGGATTAATAAGATCTCTGAAATCAGTTACATCAGTAGTTCCGGTGTCACGAAATATATTCGCCCCCAGAATACCCCAACCCCCCCACCCCACCCCACCCCCACCCCCACCCCCCTCCCGGCGAATTTATACCGGTACAGTTCAGCCCCTCTCGAAATAAACTCTCCCCCACCCTACGAAATAAAATCTCGTAGGGATTTTTATAAATACTTGTATACCTGA